TAGGAGATCCATGAGGGGCTACCAGGAAGATGGATGATGGATATGTAGACGTTAATGATACCATTCTCTCTTGATGTACAGAGATTTGAATGTTTTCCTTTACATATTTTAAAAAGAAAGTTTCCTGCCCTCAAGGAGCTCACATTCTATTGGTAGGTGAAAAATCTAGTAACAGTGTAAAATGAATGATATCATAAGACTATCTATAATGTAAGTACATAAAGACTGATATTCATAATAACTTCTATTAAGGTCAGAGGAAACCTGATTTCATTTATGACAGATTGGAGTCTGAGGGAGCCAGTCACGGAAGCTGGGTTTTGAAGAAAGAGTAGGATTTCGTAAAGACGAAGGGAGAGGTAAGACCACTGTAGTTCAAGGTAACACAGGAAAACAAGATTTTCTCTTGACTGGGGAGAATGTTTTGCTTGGAGAAAGGAATTCATGTTTATTTAGCTTATATGCTCCCTCTGGGTAATAAGGAGTCACTGAGGGTTTTTAGGAAAGAAATAAATATCATAAAACCTAAGTTTTAACTATGTTTAGCTGTGTGGTTGTCTTGTGGGATCTAACACTCACAATGGAAAAAGCACCATGTGGTTCCTCCATGCATCCTGCCGTGCCTACATGAGAGTTCTGACTCCAAGCCTCCCATGGAGGAAGACCAATACTGGATTTTCTGGGGAAGGAGCCTCTCTTATTCTCCTGAGCTACAGAATTTCTAAGGAACCCATATACTGGAAATTATACCCGAAGGCCGGTCACAGGGAAGAGCTGAGAAGTCTCCCCTTCCGCTTGGAGAGTACAGCACCACTGAGAATGCTGGTCCGCACTCCTTGGCAACTTCTCCTCTTCAGAATAATGCTGTGTGTGTGGCTTAGTGTATCTCCCACTGAGCACCAACAGCAGAAGCTACGTACTGTCAAAGCCACATCAAGAAGGCAGCAACACATGAACCAGACAGGCATCCTCACCATAGGCAATCCCTTAGTGATTCCCAACACGTCAGTCCACAGCATGAATCAAGTTATACATTGCTGTCTCTCACTACTTCAGGTCTCAGTCCCCAATATGGCACTTTTTTTTTGGAGACCGAATCTGACTCTGTCACCCAAGCTGGACTGTAGTGGCATGATCTCTGCTCACTGCAACCTCTACCCCCCGGGCTTAAACAATTCTCATGCCTCAGCCTCCCCGAGTAGCTGGGACTACAGGTGCATGCCACCACCCCTGGCAATTTTTTTGTATTTGTGGTAGAGACAGGGCTTTATCATGTTTCCCAGGCTGGTCTCAAACTCCTGAGCTCAGACAATCTGCCCGTCTCATCCTCCCAAAGTGCTAGGATTACAGGCACGAGTCAACATGCCTGGCCACAATATAGCACTTCTAATCCAGAGGGCCAGCCAAAGATGTCAAAAGCAGTAAGAAACCATAAATTGCAAACACCAGAGAAAAAAGAATATCAGAAAGACAGCACAGGAGGATACAAATAACCCTTGGGAATGAAGAAACCAGGGTCTTAGAACCAGCTGGACTAACACGTGATGACTGTAAAACACTTTTTGGGGCTTAAGTTTAATTGTCCATTGAATTGTAACAATCCCATTTACCTGAGCAGGGGGAGAGTGATGACCTGAGCTGGCTGTTTATGCTTATGCACCTGTTTTTATTCAGGATGATTTTTGCTTAACTTTATACTTTTGGTCTTTT